TGACTCCATACATACAGAAATGTAGTTGACTGGAAATGGTCTAGCAAGCCACTCAGTTGTAGGGATGGGCAAATTAATGCCACACTGGCAATGGCACTGTAAGTGATGCCCACATGCCATAAGTGAATAATAAAATACTCCTAGTAATGCTGTCCTTATTCTGCTTGCAGGCTGCAGCCACTATCAGTTCTGAGCAAGGGTCACCGGACCCAAAACGTTAACTCTGTTTTTTCCTTCACAGATGCTGCCAGACCTGCTGAGCTTTTCCAGCAACTTTGTTTTTGTTCCTGATTTACAGCATCTGCAATTCTTTCAGTTTTTATGTCGGTCTTCCTGCATTAATTGGCAAATTTGTGAGATCATTTCCTTCATAAAATGAAGGATGTTGTATACTGTTCCCGTTAAAATTGAAGGCATTGTCTGGCCATGGCTTCCTGTTGTGAGTTTCTTCAGCTTCAAACAGCTTGCCCTCATTTTGTCTTCTTATTGTCCCAATCATGCTGTAGTCATGGAAACCATAGCACCTACTACAGGACTAAGTTCTCTGAGCAGAACAGTGAAGTAAAAACAGGGCCTTCACCACATGCCGTATCATTGCCTGTTGACCTCAGCAACTGTAAATAATATTACAAATCTTCAAACACGTAAGAAAATGTGACAAGTATTAGCAATAACCAGAAAGTGATTGATGATCCTTTAAAGAACTCTGCTTGGGCATGTTCAGACATGTGGGATTAAGAGAGGATGTTAGCAATAACATTAAAATTGAAAATGTACCATGAGAGTCAAATTAACATTGCATGCTGACTAATACCAGGATCTGACTACTCTGTATTCTTCTGTTGTACATCCTGAGTGCCTGCACTAACAACATGGGCAAAATATTATTCAGTGCAGCCTGCATCAGAAATGTGCTAGTGTCAATTTGGATCTGAAATAGAATCTTATTCTCCACAATTACATGCATTACACAGCCAAATTTTGCAGGCCTGGTGTTATCTACAAGTAACAGTATGAGTACAAACACCACCTTTAAAAGTTACAGTTTGTCCAAAATCAAAACTTAGGAAAGGATTTCCATCATGTTTTTCTGTGAAATGGTAATGAAAAATACATTCCACTCATTGGCAAATCAGATGCCCTCCACAATTAGTTTAGAGGAGTGCACGAACAATCTGTGATTCACTGTATGAACACAATCCCCTGAACACTTTTCTGTGGAATTGCAAACTCAGAGGCTGAATATTTTTTCTCAATCTAGACTGTTTTTTGTGGACCACTTTATGTCTGTCGCCTAAGAGAGATTCGTCTCTTATTCCTCCTTTGCAACACAATCCAGCTTTTAGAACTGAGTACAATTTGCTGTACAAAGTAGCTTTATGTTAGATTATGAGAGAAATAGTGTGTTGTTGAAGCACTGAACTCTGACGCAGAATGGCCTCATTCCAGCATGTGCCAAAATTCTCTGTTAGATGCTGAGAGTCTGTTGAAACATGCACAAGGCTCTGCCTATCAACAAAGAACGCAGTATTCTGCGAACAAACTTGTGTTTTCCATTGGCGAGGAGGGAGTTTCAGACAAAACAGTGGTAGTAATCTGACATCATCAGGAGCGGGTGTCAGAGAAAGAATACTCTCAGCTGTGCCACATTGGTGACTATGACCCAATACCGATAACACAAGAGAGCTGGTCTGTATAATGCAAGAGGGTGTCACAAAGGATAATGACTAGGGAGAACAAAACTCAGATTCAAACAGAAAAGAGATTATTATAATGTTCATAGGAGCTGCCAATAGCTGTGCTTTTTTAACATTGTGGTTGGCTTTGGAACAGTGTTCTACTGGGGAGCTAGACTAAGGCAGAGTTAAAGTGGGAGGTGGCCAAAATTTAGCATAGAAACAGACATGGAAATATGAGATATCACTTACAAAACTTTTCACTGGATACCAGTAGGTGTTAAAGGTAAGACTTAGAATTGCTACAGTGTGGGGATAGGCTCTTTGGCCCAACAAGTCCACACTGGCCCTCAGAGCATCCCTCCTGGACCCATCCCCCTATAACCCACACATCCCTGAACACTATGGGCAATTTAGCATGGCCAATCCACCTATCCTGCACATCTTTGGACTGTAGGAGGAAACTGGAGCACCCAGAGGAAACCCATGCAGACACAGGGAGAATGTGCAAACTCCACACAGACAGTCACCTGAGGGTGGAATTGAACCCAGGCCCCAGGTGCTGTGAGGCAGCAGTGCTAACTACTGAGCCACCATGCCACATTTAGTTAAAACCTTTAGGTCAGAGCAATTGCATATTCTGGCTTCCTTTAAGCGAGTGGGGTCAAAATAAAGTCAAATAATGTTGATATGTAATACCACACGTCAGTGATGGAAACTTTCTGCTTTAATCTATGTCGCTGTTCAATGCAGTGTAGTTGAATAGAAATTACAGACTGGCCATTAGTGTGGCTTTGACAATACTGTCGCAGCCACACCCACAAGTGTTAATGGAAGACAGTTTACACACTTACACATGTATACTTACTTAAAAAAAGTTGCCAAAGTGAAACCTGACAATATTTATCTTTCAGAGATAGTAGGAACTGCAGATGCTGGTGAATCCGAGACAACAAGGTGCAGGGCTGGATGAACACAGTAGGCCAAGCAGCATCATAGGAGCAGAGAGGCTGACGTTTTGGGCCTAGACCCTTCATCAGAAAAGGGGGAGGGGAAGGGGGTTCTGAAATAAATAGGGAGAGTGTGGGAGGCGGATAGAATAGAGGAGAGGATAGGTGGAGAGGAAACAAACAGGTCGAAGAGGCGGGGATGGGGCCGGTAAAGGTGAGTGTAGGTAGGGAGTTAGGGAGGGTATAGGTCAGTCCAGGGAGGACGGACAGGTCAAGGGGGCGGGATGAGGTTAGTCGGTAGGAGATGGAGGTGCGGCTTGAGGTGGGAGGAGGGGATAGGTGGGAGGAAGAACAGGTTATGGAGGCAGCATCGAGCTGGACTGGTTTTGGGATGCGGTAGGGGGAGGGGAGATTTTGAAACTTGTGAAATCCACATTGATACCATTGGGCTGCAGGGTTCCCAAGCGGAATATGAGTTGCTGTTCCTGCAACCTTCGGGTGACATCGTTGTGGCACTGCAGGAGGCCCAGGATGGACATGTCGTCTGAGGAATGGGAGGGGGAGTTGAAATGGTTCGCGACTGGGAGGTGCAGTTGTTTATTGCAAACCGAGCGTAGGTGTTCTGCAAAGCGGTCCCCGAGCCTCCGCTTGGTTTCCCCGATGTAGAGGAAGCCACACCGGGTACAGCGGATGCAGTATACCACATTGTCAGATGTGCAGGTGAACATCTGCTTGATGTGGAAAGTCTTCTTGGGGCCTGGGATGGGGGTGAGGAGGAGGTATGGGGGCAGATGTAGCACTTCCTGCAGTTGCAGGGAAAAGTGCCGAGTGTGGTGGAGCTGGAGGGGAGTGTGGAGCGGACAAGGGAGTCACGGAGAGAGTGGTCCCTCCGGAAAGCCGATAAGGGTGGGGAGGGAAAGATGTCTTTGGTGGTGGGGTCGGATTGCAGATGGCGGAAGTGTCGGAGGATGATGCGTTGGATCCGGAGGTTGGTGGGGTGGTACGTGAGGACGAGGGGGATTCTTTTTTGGTTCTTATTGCGTGGACGGGGTGTGAGGGATGAGTTGCGGGAGATGTGGGAGACACGGTTGAGGGCGTTCTCGACCACTGAGGGGGGGAAGTTATGGTCCTTGAAAAACGAGGACAACTGAGATGTATGGGAGTGGAATGCCTCATCCTGGGAGCAGATGTGGCAGAGGCGAAGGAATTGGGAATAGGGGATAGCATTTTTGCAGGAAGGTGGGTGGGAGGAGGAGTATTCTCGGTAGCTGTGGGAGTCAGTGGGCTTGAAATGAATATCGGTTTCTAGGTGGTTGCCCGATATGGAGACAGAGAGGTCCAGGAAGGGGAGAGAGGTGTTAGAGAAGGTCCAGGTAAACTTAAGGTTGGGGTGGAAGGTGTTAGTGAAGTGGATGAACTGTTCGAGCTCCTCGTGGGAGCACGAGGCGGCGCCGATACAGTCATCAATGTAACGGAGGAAGAGGTGGGGTTTAGGGCCGGTGTAGGTACGGAAGAGGGATTGTTCCACGTAACCTACAAAGAGGCAGGCGTAGCTTGGGCCCATGCGGGTACCCATGGCTCCCCCCTTTGTCTGTAGGAAGTGGGAGGAATTGAAAGAGAAGTTGTTGAGAGTAAGGACGAGTTTGGCTAAGCGGATGAGGGTGTCAGTGGAGGGGGACTGGTCGGGCCTGCGGGACAGGAAGAAGCGGAGGGCCTTAAGGCCATCTGCATGGGGAATGCAGGTGTAGAGGGACTGGACGTCCATGGTAAAGATGAGGTGTTGGGGACCGGGGAATTGGAAGTTCTG